TGTTACATTTTTCAAAGAAATCTGCTGACTTTTATCCACATGAATACTCAAGAGAGCAGTCACAACTTCTACACACTTACTTTTGGGAAGCTTGGCTGTGAAGCCAGAGGAATAGACCTAAAGAAGGATGTATCAAAAGAAGGTAAACAATGTCCAAGGTAATTGCTTAATTTTATTATTTTAATCTGCAATCAAATTTCTTTTGATTATTACAGAAAGCATCAAACCCACATTACTCATTCACTGGTGCACGGCAAAAGATAACTAATGTTAATGGAAAAGGAGGTTTGGTATTGTACAATATTTCCAGAGGTGCTAAAATTGTGTGGGTTATTCAGCTCTTTGCTCCCCATTTTCTGGTCAGTCAGACGAGAGAGAGACTGCAATCATAAGTACATACGTACTATATTTTCTGGTATATAACGCGCACGAGTGTCGGCTGCTTGCTGACACGATGTTTCCAAGCAGTTGTGATGTAACGATAGTAAACAATTGCTAAAGCATAACCCAAAGCCTACCCTTAACCCTGATCTGGAGCATATAATATGCAGGGTGATTTTCAGACTTTTTGGGGGAAAAAATGTGCCTTTTATGCCAGAATATACAGTAGTTAATTGGTGGTTCCAAAGTGCCCTGATTATACTTGTGAGTGACTATAACTTGGATGAGGACGTACTATGCACTCCAGTATAAGGATTCAAGACATATCAGCAGTAAAGTATTCCTGGTAGTTGTATTTTTTACTAAACATTTTTAAGAGATTTCTACTTACATTTGAGCCCTCCTTCCCTACAATCCCACCTTTGCTTCACTCTTTTTCTGTAGTTTTTTAACCGAGACATTTTGCTCCTTTCAGCTGATGTCTTTTCAGCACATCTCCCTCTCTCCCTTCCCTCTGTTTTTCCCATCCTTTTTTCTTCTCACCATCTCTTTGACTGCATTGCTGTATTATCTTTACCACTTTAGCATTTTCATTAAATATAATAATTAAATTTGAATTTCATCATGACTTGTGCTATTAGCATTCTTTTTACAAAATGCATTTAATTTAGATATTGCAAACATTCTTATAAAGCTCCTCTATATAGTATGATTTTTGTAAATGGTATTGAAAAAGTCCATCCTAAATTGAATAGAACATGCAAAGGCTGTCATAGTACATGCTATTCAATTTTTAATGTACTTTTTCAATTGCATTTATGAAAAATCACACACTATAGATGAGCCTTATAAAAGAACTTACTGTATTTTATTAACATAGGAATTTTTAATTAGTTATTGCAGCAATCAAAAACGATGTGATGAAGCATCGGATTCTAATCTTCAAGGTAAGATTTAAAAAAAACAGTTCCATTGATGAATATGATATATTATTTTAATAGCAGTTTGCTTATTATCTCAAGATCATGGACACACCAAGCATGACTGTAGTTTTTATTATGAATTTTAAATTTGAATTTAAACAGGATCAAGGAATAATCAGTGGAGACAGGCACGTGGAAATTGCTAAATGGTTTGGTGAACCTGACTCCACTTTTTACAAGCATCCACGCTCCCCACATCCTGATGTGTTCAGAGTCTCTAATGATCGTTCAGAGGGCTGTACAAGTAAGTCAAAGCAGCATTTGCCTCCTTTTATTTTAAAATGCCCACATTACAAAATTTATAAGGTGATGACGGAGCAGTTGCTTATAAAAATATTAAAATTTAAATTTTATTTATTAATTGCATTTGTAGATGTTGGCCGAACTGGATGGCACATTGATGGTAGTTTTCAAGAGGCACCATTTGCGTACTCCCTTTATCATATGGTAAGATATTCTAAGAGTTCATTTCCATATTTTAGTACAACACAAGTTAACAGTTTATCTCTAATATTCATTGAATCTCATTTCCACTTATCAAAGAAAGATGGTAATGTTTTAACAGATGACTGGAGTTTTACTTAAAATTCTACCATTAAAATCTGTATTTGTCAAATTATACCTTTTTTACATTGCATATCCTCAACAATGAAAGCGGTGGGGAAATATGGTTCACTACAGCAAATTATAAGGAGAAAACTATTCAATTAGAGAAACAGCTCTAAAAAAGGAAACCAAGAAGAAACCAGAGTAATCTGATCACCAGTTTACAGGAAATGAGAACCTAGCCCTCTAAACACACAAACAACTGCTGCATGAAATGTGGAGATAGTGCCACATGCCCAAAAAAAATGTGTGGTCTGTTCCCAAACTGTCACTAGTGTTCAAATTAGATTTTGTTTGGGTTCTTTTTTACTCCTCCAGACTTTGGCAGGACATTTTCTTCCATCCTGCATTGAGACCACTGGCTCATCACCCCTGTACGCTGGCTGGATTTGATTTGAAGGGGAGTGAAAAAGAACGGAGTGGTTTTTAGGAGTGATTGCTATTCAGATGGCCACAGCTCATAAGAAACATTCAGTACCAAAGGGGCAACAAAATCACAAACCTCGTAATGTGAGGGTTTAAAGTTATCTGGACATACAATTTTGGGGAGAAAATTTGATAACTGGTCATAGCTAGATAAAAAAAATAATAGTTCTTTAGATGTGAATGACTAAAAAGTTTTATATAAAAAATAATGTGAAAATATAAATGAAAAAAAATCAACAAGGAATTTTTGCTTTTCCACCCCAGTAAAATGGGTTCTTTTTTTCCCCACTTTTGGAATTTTTATTTTAACAAATTGTATTAGGGAGCAACAGGGGGGAGGCAGCCGGGGGCCCCAAAATTTTGAACTTGGGGGGGCCGGGCACCCTTCCTTGGTTGAACGAATCCCAACTGGGGCACCCTCTTTACAATTTTGGGAAATATAGTACAAATATACAGTACAGTTTTGGGTTGGGTAGACAGAAAACCCACCCCGGGGAATACTACTGTCCCTGCCAGATGACTGGGGAAAACAAAACCTTTTAACCTTTTTTTTGCATGAAGGGGGATTGCTGGTTTTTTTTTTTCTTTTCTCAAAAAACATCTAGTTTAACAGGGAAAACCCTTGCTATTTCCTACTTACATTTGGGGTCCACTTCACACACGCACATGCATATATATAAACATCATCTTTTTTTTTTCCCTTTTTTCTAAATAGTTTTGGGTTTTTTTTAAATTTTTTTTCTATTGTCCATGGGGAAAATTGGAAAAAAGAATTTTTCCCTCCGTAAGCCATGCTGTCGTATGAGGCGACTAAAAATGCCAGGATAAAAAGGGCCCTAGTAACCCCTTTCCCTGTAAAAATTTACAAAAAAAGAGAAGAAGAAAAACTTTTAAAACCCCCGGGATCCCTTAAAATGTCGTGGATGTAGTGCGGATACAAAAAAAACAGAAACTGCTAAATGAATGAATAAAAAAAAAGGGTTGGATGTCCTGGCCCTAACGAAACAAAGCGGGAAGGGGGGTAGGGAAGTTTTCGGGGGGGGGAAAAAAAGGGGGAAATTAAATTTTGGAGAAATCTGAGAGAGTTAGAGCAAAGGAAGGGTGCAGTAATGTTGAAAGGTTTCATTTTAAAGGAAGGAAAAAAAGAGAAAATAATTTTGGAAAATTTCAAGAAAAAATGGGGATTAAAGAAAAGGGTTGGGATGCAAAAAAGGGGTCAAAAAAAAGCTGTTTTGCACCTGGAGAAGAGGGGAAATTTTAGAGGGGAGAGAGATTTTGGGAGATTTTAAAGTGAATGTATAGGGGGCCTTTGAACCAAGTGAGAGAGAAATTGTGGTAGGGGACATGAATGCAAAAGTGGGAAAAACTTTTAGAGGGGGTGGGTGGGTTACGTTTTGGGGCCGGGTTAAAAAAAAATAGTAGCCCTTTGATTGAATTTTGTATAAAAAGGGGTTTATTTATGGAAAATCCCAAATTTTAAAAAAAGAGGGAATAAATAAGTATACCAAATATGATTTTAAGGGCAAATGACAGTATTTTTGTTGAATTTTTTAAATTGTAGATAAAAAAACTGTTGAGAAGACTTTCCGGATGTACATTTTTTACAGAGGGGCCCCACAGATTTTAATCAGTCACTTTTTTAGTTGTAGTTTACACGAGAAAAAAAGGTAATGGGGAAAAAGGGGAAGAATAAACATCGGGGAAAGAAAAGAGGTAAAGGTTTTAAAAAAAAAGGGGAGGCATTTAGGGTAAGATATAAAAAAGCTTTTTGGAGGATAGAGGGGGGCTAAGGAGAGCATAGGAAAAATGGGGGTCAAAAAAGTAGGGGGTTTATTTTTTAAAAATGTAGTTTTAGTTTTCCCAGCAAAAGTTTTGTTTTTAAACGGGAAAAAGTGGGTGGGGGAGGGAAAAAGGAGCGATTGGTAGAATAAAGTTTTAAAAAGGTAGAAAGGGGAAAAAAAGTTAGCATAGAAATTTTTTATACAAAGTGGGAAATTTGATCCCTTTGGGGGAAAAGGGTTTAAAGGAAAAAAAGGAGAGAGGTTAAGAGAGGGAAGCAATGTAAAAAGAGGGGAAAATTTAGAAGGGGGTGAGATGTTATCAAAAAATTTTTTTGGAAAATAAAAAAAATTTTTTGGAGTGAGATTAACAATTTAAAAGGAAAGGGCCTAAAGAAAAAAATTTGGATTGTAAAGTTAAAAATGGGAGGGGAATAGTTTTTAAATGGAGAGAAAAAAATTTTGGGGAAATGGGGGAAATTTTTTTTTGAGGAATTTTTAAATTTTGGGATGAAGTTTGGGGAAAAGCTGTGATTTCGTGTATAGGGCAAGGGGGGAATAAAAACTTGAAAGGAGTGGGGGAAAAGAGCCTTTTGGGGTTGTGGGGGAAATTTTTCCCCGGGGGGGAGGCCCCTTTTTTTAAAAATTTTTTTAAATTTTTTTTTGAAAGGGGGTTTTTAAAAGGAAAGGGGGGAAAAAATTTGAATTTTTTTTAAAGATAGAAAAAGTTAAAAGCAGGTGGGGATATAGTTTAGGAGGGGTTGGGTCCCAATAAATTTAAAAAAAGTATGGAAGGGGGTTAAAGGAAACCTAGGGTTTTGGCAGAGAAAAAGCATTTTTCCCTTTTTGATAAAGGCAAAAGGGGACAAAAAGAGTAAAAAATTTTAATAGGGACAATTTCCTGTTGAAAAAACCTTTTTAAAGTGAATGGGGGTTTTAATTTTTGGGAAAAAAAATTAAGAGTAAAAAGGAGAAAAAGGAAATTGAAAAAGAACAAGTAGGCTTTAGGAAAGGAGGGGGGTGGGGAAACCAGGTGTTTACATAAAAACATATAATTTAACATAAAAATAGATAAGGCAAAAGGGAGGTTTTTGTGGCATTTTTTTGGATTTGGAAAAGGCGTATGACGGGGTAAAAGGGGTTGCAATTTTGGCAGATTTGCAGGTGTATGGTTTGGGAAAGGTGGGTTAAAACTGAAAGCAGGAAGATTTTTTAAACGAGGAAGTGAGGCTCAATTAGAGAAAGTGGGAAAGAGGGAAATTACCCCCCAGTGAAAGTGGGCCTTTTAGAAAAAGGATTTTGTGATGTCACCGGGGTTTTGTTTAATATATTTATGAGGGGGTTGTAAGAGAAGAAAAATCGGGGGCCCTTGGCAAGGGGCGTGGAGGTAAAATAAAGAATAAACACATAAAGGGGAGTTGCCCACAGTTGCTCTTAGCGATGCCCACTGTGCTTTTGGGGAGATTCTGAAGAGAAGTTGCAGAGATTTTTGGTTTCTTTTTGGAAAGGGGGGGGTGCAAAAGAAAAAAATTAAAAGTGAATACGGGAAAAGAGTAAGGTTATGAGGATAACAAAAAGATTAGGTGATGAAAGATTGGATATCAGATTGGAGGGAAGAGAGTATGGAGGAGGTGAATGTATTCAGATATTTGGGAGTGGACGTGTCAGCGGATGGGTCTATGAAAGATGAGGTGAATCATAGAATTGATGAGGGAAAAGGGTGAGTGGTGCACTTAGTCTGTGAGACAAAGAACTTTGACCTTGGAGGCAAAGAGGGGAATGTATGAGAGTATAGTTTTACCAACGCTCTTATATGGGTGTGAAGCATGGGTGATAAATGTTGCAGCGAGGAGAAGGCTGGAGGCAGTGGAGATGTCATGTCTGAGGGCAATGTGTGGTGTGAATATAATGCAGAGAATTCGTAGTTTGGAAGTTAGGAGGAGGTGCGGGATTCCAAAACTGTTGTCCAGAGGGCTGAGGAAGGTTGTTGAGGTGGTTCGGACATGTAGAGAGAAGGAGCGAAACAGAGTGACTTCAAGAGTGTATCAGTCTGTAGCGGAAGGAAGGCGGGGTAGGGGTCGGCCTAGGAAAGGTTGGAGGGAGGGGGTAAAGGAGGTTTTGTGTGCGAGGCGCTTGGACTTCCAGCAGGCATGTGTGAGCGTGTTTGATAGGAGTGAATGAAGACAAATGGTTTTTAATACTTGACGTGCTGTTGGAGTGTGAGCAAAGTAACATTTATGAAGGGGTTCAGGGAAACCGGCAGGCCGGACTTGAGTCCTGGAGATGGGAAGTACAGTGCCTGCACTCTGAAGGAGGGGTGTTAATGTTGCAGTTTTAAAAACTGTAGTGTAAAGCACCCTTCTAGCAAGACAGTGATGGAGTGAATGATGGTGAAAGTTTTTCTTTTTCGGGCCACCCTGCCTAGGTGGGAATCGGCCAATGTGATAATAAAAATAATAATAATGTACAGTAGGGCCCCACTTATACGGCGGGTTAGGTTCCAGGCTGTCGCCGGAAAGCAGACATCGCCAGAAGGCAGAACGCCATTTTTTTCCATTTATAAATGCATATAAATGCCAGACAACAAGTATACACTAAATTATATTAAGTTAGTAATAGAACCAGGCATTAAAAACA